GAGAAGACAATGATGCTTCGGAAAATGGAAGGAAAAAGGAAGAGGGGCCAACCAAGGGCAAGATGGATGGATTTATTTATTTACAATATTTATATACTGCCTTTCTCACCTCTGGGGGGACTCAAAGTGGTTTATACATAAATAATGGCAAGATTCGATGCTTTACGTTGGGCACTGATACAATGCCAATACAAACAATTACAACAGTAAAACAATAAAAAAAAACCCTCCAGCACCAACCGCTGCTCTGAGTTCAGAATGAAGAAAGGGGCCAGGAAGGCAGTTCCATCTTACCTCCAGTGTCATCGGTTGGGAGTCCCCCCCCCCAGCACCAACCGCTGCTCTGAGATCAGAACGAAGAGAGGGACCAGGAAGGCAGTTCCACCTCGTCTCCTGCACTATGCTTATAATATAATATAATATATTTACATATAATATTGATAATATTATAATGTAATACAATACAATACAATACAATAATAATAATAATAATAATAATAATAATGGAGCCCCCAGTGGTGCAGTGGGTTAAACCCCTGTGCTGGCAGGATTGAAGACCAACAGGTCGCAGGTTCAAATCTGGGGAGAGCGCAGATGAGCTCCCTCTATCAGCTCCAGCTCCTTACGCGGGGACATGAGAGAAGGCTCCCACAAAGATGTTAAAACATCACAACATCTGGACATCCTCTGGGACACATCCTTCCAGATGGCCAATTCTTTCACACCAGAAGCGACTTGCAGTTTCTCAAGTCACTCCTGACATGACCAAACTAATAATAATATGATATTATAATTATATATTTTATATTAAATGTAATATTACTAATAATATTGCAGTATAATGTTATTGTACAATGTAATATAAAATATTAATATTGTGCTATGGTAATAATAATATTTTATATTACATTGTACTATAACATTATACTGTAATTTTGTATACTGTAATATAAATATTATACTGTAATATAAAATATTAATATTGTGCTATGGTAATAATGGAGCCCCCGGTGGCGCAGAGGGTTAAAGCACTGAGCTGCTGAGCTTTTTGATTGAAAGGTCGCAGGTTCGATTCCGGGGAGTGGCGTGAGCTTCCGCTGTCAGCCCTAGCTTCTGCCAACCTAGCAGTTCGAAAACATGGAAATGTGAGTAGATCAATAGGTACCGCTCCGGTGGGAAGGTAACGGCGCTCCATGCAGTCATGCCGGCCACATAACCTTGGAGGTGTCTACGGACAACGCTGGCTCTTCGGCTTAGAAATGGAGATGAGCACCACACCCCAGAGTCAGACATGACTGGACTTAATGTCAGGGGACTACCTTTACCTTTACCTATGGTAATAATATATTGTATTTACTTTTTACTTGTAAGCCGCTCTGAGTCCCCTTCGGGGTGAGAAGGGCGGCATATAAAGTCGTGAATAAATAAATAGTAAAACCATAATTAAACATAAATCATAATTAAAACAATACATCCTTGAAGTGACTGGATTGACCTTGAAGGAGCTGGGGGTGGTGACGGCCGGCAGAGAGCTCTGGCGTGGGCTGGTCCATGAAGTCACGAGGAGTCGGAAGCGACTGCAGGAATAAACAACAACAAACTGCATTTTTTCCCTTTCCTCCACCATTGCTCTCCTCTCGGCCGCGTTAAGCTCTTCCCAATGCAAGGTCTTCTTAGCAGTGGGTGGGCAAGGCAGGAAAGGGCAGGAGGCTTCAGAGGAGGCAACGCGCATGCCCAGAAGAGTGACTGACGCCAGCCCTGAATCGTGGCGGCTGCGGCGCGCGCCCCTTGCTCCCTCCCTCTTGGCTTCCCGGTCCAGCTGTAGCCTGGGCGCGCGCTCCCGACCGCCCTGTTAGACGTGGCAGTTCACTGAGCAGTTCCCGGGCGGAGAGATTGAGCGAGGAAGCCGGCTCTGTTTGCCTCTCGCTCTTTGGCAACAAGCAGCGGGCTTGGGACGCGGAGAGAAGCGCAGAGAGGAGGAAAGAAGAGGCACAAGAGCACTCGGTGAGGGACCTGCAAAAGGGAGAGACAGAGAGAGAGAGAGAGAGAGATCCAGATGGGAAGGGGAAAGGGATTTGCATCCAGCCTCGAAGGGAATGCCACCTGGACCAAAATGAAGTGCCAGGGTTGGGGATAGGCGCTTGCATCATCTTGGGAGCATCCCATAGCATCAAAGCATCCAGGGCTTGGAACTCCTCCATGATATCCCATGATCAGCATCTTCATTGAGGAATGAATGCAGTTTGACACCACTTTGCACTGCCATGCCTCAAGGAGATGCCAATTTTCCAAAGTCTCTGCTTTCTTTGGCACCTCCCCGAACTACAAAGCCCAGGATCCCATAGCATTGAGCCAAGTGGTGTCAAACTGTGTTGATTCCACAGTGTGGACCTGCTCATAGCCAATCCAGAGGGTGACAATGGCGAGTTGGTCCGTCTCCTGCAACAAGTTGGGTGCATTCCAGTCCAGAATTCAATATCTGACTTAATGCACTTGGTGCGCACATTGGCGATCTTGGTTGTAATGGTGTGGTGTGTTGAGGTAGTTGTGTAAAATTATAAGCCCTATGTAGAATTAATGCACTTTGACACCATTTGAACTGCAATGGCTTTAGAGCAAGCATGGGCGAACTTGGGCCCTCCAGGTGTTTTGGACTTTGACTCCCACAATTCCTAACAGCCTCAGGCTTAAGCGGCTGAGGGGAAAAAGAAAAGGGCCTGAGGCTATTGGGAATTGTACAGCACACAACTCCCATGTTACGCCAGCTCCACTGGCTCCCAGTTTGCTACTGAGCACAATTCAGAGTGCTGGCTTTGGCCCATAAAGCCCTAAATGGCCCCGACCCAATTTACCTGTCTGAACGCATCTCCCCTTATGAACCACAGTGGTGATTAAGATCTTCTGGGGAGACCCTGCTCTTGGTCATGCCATCATCACAGGTGCATTTGGTGAGGACGAGAGACAGGGTCTTCCCAGTGATTGCCCCTCAGCTATGGAACTCCCTTCCTAATGAGATCAGGTCAGCCCCCTCCCTCTTATCCTTTAGAAGGGTGATAAAAACGTGGCTGTGGGATCGAGCCTTTGTAATGAGGCAGAGATAGGAACTCTTAGTATGCCAACCAAATTCAATATGGCTGTTGAGACAGTTCTAACTAGAGGATTTTAACGTCAAGATTTTAATGCTTTTGTATGTGTATGGTCTAGTACAGGGGTCCTCAAACTAACGCCCGTGCACTGGATACGGTCCTCCAAGGTCATTTACCCGGCTCTCACTCAGGGTCAACCAAAGTCTGAAATGACTTGAAAGCCCTCTGTTTAAAAGGTTTGAGGACCCCTGGTCTAGTATGTTTTGCACTGAATGTTTGCCATTTATATGTTGTGCTCCACCCTGAGTCCCCTTTAAATAAATAAATAAATCATGGGAGTCGAAGCCTTAAAACACCTGGAGGGCCAAAGTTTGCCCATGCCTGCTTTGGACTCATGGTGGCTGCAGTTTTACAAAGTCCTTGGCCTTCTCCACCCAAGAGTGCTGCTGCCTCACTAAGCTACAGATCCCAGAATTCCATAGCATTGAGCCATGACAGTTAAAGTAGTGTCAAAGTGCATTATATCTACAGCATAGATGCACTCTTAAGGATGTCCAAGTTCTTTTCAAATGTTTGATCCATGCTTTGGAAATAAGTCCCTACCCATAAGTATACCAAAATCTACATGAATGATAGCTAAAGACTCTTGGAAAACCTTTTCAACATCAATAGACTTGGTAAAATAGATTCACATTTATATGGAGCCTATAAGCAATATGGGAGCCCCTGGTGATGCAGCAGGCTAAACCGCTGAGATGCTGAACTTGCTGACCAAAAGGTCAGCAGTTCGAATCTGGGGAGCAGGATGAACTCCTTCTGTTAGGCGCAGCTTCTGCCAACCTGGCAGTTTGAAAACATGCAAATGTGAGAAGATCAATAGGTATCACTTAAGTAGGAAGGTAATGGTGCTCCATGTAGTCATGCCAGCCACATGACCTTGGAGGTGTCTACAGACAATGCTGGCTCTTTGGCTTAGAAACTGAGATGAGTACCACCTTCCAGAGTTGGACATGACTAGACTTAATGTCAAGGGGAAACCTTTACCTTTACCTTATGAGCAATATGAACAATTATTTTGGGACAAGGAACAATTCAAGATGAAACAGGTCATTTAGGTACATACGGAGTGCTCTTTCCTTTGTTGGGTGGAAAAGTGGTATGTTGGTAAAATAGGATACTGTCAGAAGGATGTCAGCCAGACACTGAGGATTGTATTGAACTGTGACTGCTAAATGTGCAACAAGCCCTTGGCATTGGCTGGATTTTTGTTCCCAGGTGCCCCATGAATCCCAAAATCTATGGATGCTTTAGTCCCGTTATGTACAGTGGTAAAGTAAAATGGTGTCCCTTATATAAAATGGCAAAATCAAGGTTTGCTTTTGGGATTTTTTTAGAGGGGGAGGGATATTTTCAGGTAATGGATGATGGAATCCATTGATGCTGAATACATGGACATGAGGGAACGGACTTTACTACAAAAACATTCAAACCCAGATTGTTATAAGTCTGGGAGTAAAGCATCTGGGACTGGATCTACACTGCCATATAATCCAATTTAAATCTGCATGATATGGTCAGTATAGACCAACCTTTGGTCCTCTTTCAGCTCCCACAATTCCTAATAGCTGGCAAGCTGGCTGGGTCTTCTGGATGTTGAAGTCCAAAACAACTGGAGGACCAACGGTTGGGAACCACAGGTATAGACCTATATACTACAGTTCAGTGAACCACCTCAGAAGTTAAGATCTTCTGCGGAGGCCCTGTTCTCGGTCCAACCTCCTTCGCAGGTGTGACTAGTGGGGATGAGAGACGGGGCCTTCTCAGTGGTGGCCTCTCAGCTATGGAAGTCCCTTTCCAATGATATTAGATCAACTCCCTCCCTCCTGACCTTCAGAAAGAAACTGAAAACTTGGCTATGACACCAAGCCTTTGGAGAATAGTCAGTACAATAGGCAGCAATGAACTAAGTGTAATACAACTGGAATGACTTCTGGACTGTGACTTCAGATATTGTATCTGTTGTTTGTATGGCATTGAATACTGCCAACTTGGAAGCCGCTTAAGTCCCCTTCAGAGTCAGAAGATCAGGGTAAAATATGGTTAATAAATAAATAAATAAAAATTAAACTGCATTATACACAAGCCATATAATGCAGATTTAAACTGCTTAATATGGCAGTGTAGAGCCAACCTGACATATAAATCTGATTTACATAATTAGCTTATATGCCATAAGAACACCATCTCCTGCACCTTATGACCACCAACTTTTTTTAAAAAAAACCAGTCATTTTTGTGATGGACAAGTACATCCTGGGTAAGTCTTGCCAAACGGGGCTACATGGAGCATGGAAAAGGGGTCATACAACTGTGTGCCATGCATGCCAGTCCACACATCCACATGGGAAAGTGTCATTTGCTTCTGGAACTGCCACTTCGTATCTTCTGATTTTCCAGTGATTGTTTGAAGTTTACCTTGATACCGAATGTAGTGTTTTTATTTCCTATTGATTTGATGTGAATGTATCTTCTTTTTTGAAATTATCTGCCTCTTCCTTTTGGAATACACAACTCAGCTTTTTGGCCTAGACAACACATGACCTAAGAACTTGTCTAACCTGAGACCTGGAATGCAATTGGGAGGGGGGCTGCTCTCGATTCACCTGCTTCGCAAGTGCGGTTGGTGGGGACGAGAGACAGGACCTTCTCATTGGTGGCTCCTCAACTTTGGAACTCTCTCTCCATTAAGATTAGATCAGCACCCTCCCCCTGGCCTTTAGAAAGAGAACAAAGACATGGTTATTGAACCAAGCTTTTGACTAATAAAGTAATGCTGTACAAGCAGTAAATATGGAATATGTGTAATCGACATCTGGAATGGCCTGGTCTATGTGTTTGGATCATGTGATTTTAATGTTTTTTATTAGGTGTTTTCAATTTTTATTCTTCTTATTTAAATGTTCTATTATTCCCATGGAGAATTTGTCCTATTGTATTTTATGCTTAGTCATACGTTGTTTCATTTTTTATTCGGTTTATGTATGTAAGGCATTTAATTTTGCCATTATTTTTGTAAACCGCATTGAATCCCCCCTCCAGGGGGTGAGAAAAGTGTTATGTAAATACTGTAAATAAATAATAATTAATAAGTATGCACTTTGGAGTTCTCTTGGATCTTGTCCTTCTCCTGAAATGTCAGGTGGAAGTGATGTTTGGTAATGTCTTTGCTCAATTTCAGCTCATGTGTTGACTATACATTTTGGGAGGAATTGAAGATCTGGTCACAGGGATTCATTCTTTAATTCTCCTTCTTAGAGATCAGGCATTGGCAAATTTTGGCCATCCAGGTTTTGGACTTCAACTTCCAGCCTACTGGCTGTTAGGAATTGTGGGAGATGAAGTCCAAAACACCTGGAAGGCCAAAATTTGCCCATGCCTGTTATAGATCATTGTAGTATATTCTATGCAAGGTTTCCTTGCAAGACATCTGATCCTTGTTTCATTGAAGTCTTCTTTTGATCCATGGTCATCTATCTTCCTACCATTAAAGATTCATGTCTAATGGGATGTCATACTTTGTTGCTACAATGTGTGTGTGTGTGTGTGTGCTGTTGCATGTATCATGACTTTTAAATACTTGTTTGCTTTTTATACATTTGTTGCTTTTGTAGACTATGTGTGAACAATATAACAATTTCACTCTCATCCAGTATGTGTCTAGGACTAGGTCTAATTCAAAATACTTCCTTCAAATATGGAAAGAAGCAGCCCCGAGATACTCAAATTTGAATTGTTTCAAGTATCTCATGGAGTGCTTCCTTCCATATTTACCTCCCTATAAACTGAAATCATTATTGCAAATGCTGTTAAACACCATGTTGGGAATCTCATTTGGTGGGCACCTGAGACAGTGCCCTT